AATCGACGTTTACATTCTGCTGTCACCAAACCCTGCCGGACCTTCATTCTCCACAGAAATCTATCCTGGGCAAGCGACTCCTAGTTCACATGGTTGATGTCGAACTCTTGCAGGGATAGTTTTAAACAGTCTTTAAAACATTTCCTCTGTCCTCCAACCGATCGTTTACCTTCACTAAGTTCACCATAGAGAACTTGCTTCGGTATTCTATCAGCTGGCATTCTCACGAGGTGACTGGCCCATCTGACTTGTGCTTTCTGGAGAAGCGTGTATACACTAGGGACACCAGCACGTTTGAGAACGTCTGTGTCAGGAACTCTGTCTTGCCATTTAACATGGAGGAGCCGACGGAGACAGCACAGATGGAAGTGATTAAGCTTTCTGGCGTGCCTCTGATACACAGTCCATGTTTCACTGGCATATAGTAGGATGCTCAATACCTCTGCCTGATAGACCTTCAGCTTGGTGGTTAGTCTGAGCCCTCTCCGCTCCCACACACTGCGACGGAGTCTTCCGAAAGCAGAGCTCGCACGTGCGATCCGGTGGTCAACCTCTATGTCGATGTTAGTGTCCTTTGAGAGCGTGCTTCCAAGATAACGAAAACTCTCAACCGTCTCCAGGTTCACACCATCAATGGATAATTCTGGATCAACTAGAGATCGACAAGGAGCGGGCTGAAGCACAACCTTCGTCTTGGAGGTGTTAATTGTAAGACCGAAATCGCCACATCCCCTTGCGAAGCAGTCGAGCTCCTGTTGCATCGTTTCCGCCGAAGTCGCACTCAGCACACAATCATCAGCAAACAACAGGTCTCTGATACTAGTCAAACAAACTTTTGTGCGCGCTTGCAAATGGCGAAGATTGAACAGCTTTCCATGCATTCGATATCGCAGGTGTATTCCGCTCGGACCATCCCTGAAGGCGTCTGACAGCAATGCTGATAAATACATACTAAACAGTGTTGGTGCCAACACGCAACCCTGCTTGACACCACTGGACACAGGAAACTCTATGGATTCTTCTCCGTCACCGAACACTCTTGCCATCATACCTTCATGGAACTGACGAACTACAGCGACACACTTCGTGGGACAACCGAACTTGTGCATTATGCGCCAAAGTCCTTCTCTACATACCGACCCCACACCTACTGCACTGCCATCGGCCTATCGCCGATGGACTTTATTGATGTTGTGACGTGCGCTGGACTTGGATTTTAGTGAGGAAGAGTTGCGCGAGTCGTTGACCTCACTCTCTCGTCCCTTCCCATCCGGATCCAGTGGCAAGAACAAGTCAAGACGACTGGGGATAGATCAGGATGCAGTGGATGACCGCAACTTCCTATGTTAAGAAAATACAGCTGTTGCTAATAGAAACTTCCAGTGAATTAATTTTTTTTTTTCACATATTCATGTTAAAACATTCCTCGATATTTCCCCTTTATTAAATTTATTAATCCTAGAATTACAAATGCATCAGATTGTTAAGCACATTTTTCTAAACTATTTATGCACCAAAATACTTGTGGGTCTAAGATTAATAATGGCTACAGGGTCCATTATAACATACAAGTCACACAACATACCATTAATATTGCAGTTAACCAAACTAATTTCTGCTGTGGTTCCTGATTTATTTTATGAAAATGAATGATTTCACTCCTTTTTATCAGTTCTTTACATTTAGTATTGTAACAGGTAAAAACATAAAATTATTTAGTATACTGCAGTACGTGGACCTACTAGTAGTGAAAGTAAAAATGAGTTGGTGAGAGTTAATCAATCATTTTATTATGATATTTTTCCAAGAAGTTTCAGTCTTCTCAACCTTTAGCTTTTACTACAGTGCATTGATTTCACATATTATAATAGTTGCTCTCTCTCTCGCTGTTGATATTAATTTCAGCTTAGAAATTCTTTTTTTTTTCTTAGGATCAAAGCCAATCCTGTTTCAAGTGCTCCTGAATCCATTCATCAGAAATGCTCTAATTGTGGGTTGCGCATTACAGATGTTTCAACAAATTTCAGGCATCAACACTGTAATGTAAAGATTAACTTTTCTTTATCTCTTAATACCTTTAAATTTTATCTGTCTTCAGTAGAAAATGTTGAAATTATAATCTGTATTGTGATTTTAATTTGGTTCTTGTACATGTAACATAAATTTGCTTTTTAAATGTCATTATTGTATAGAATTTAAGGTTAATTGAAAAGTATAATATATTTTTTATTTAAAATTTTATCATTAGGAAATGAATGTTTTCAAGTTGGCTATGACTAATCTCTTCTGCGGAGATCCTGATGTTTTTCTCATTTATTGTGTCTGTAGATTTACAAGATAAACTATTAATAAAGGAAGATAGTTGCATTCCTTTTGTTCATAAAACAAACACTTTCAAAACATCAGCAATTTATTTATTGTTTAGATTTTGCATATCAGACACATGTGATTAAACAAAGTCTTCCTTTACAGAATATTGAAAAATAATATGATATGGTATTGGCATTTTTGTATAAACTTTCTTATTTGTACTTCATTTAGGTGTAATGAAAGTTTAAAGTATAAAATAAAGTAATTCATTAAATTGAATTAATGCTCAAAATAATCTCACAAGCATAGAATAGTGGGTGTTGTGATATTTAAAACTCTAATTATAATGTTTGTGAAATACAATAATTCCATTTTTTTTATAAAATATTGTTATGAGCTATATTTTTAATGTTGTATCTAGGTGTAAGCTAGAGGGCATAGAACCTTAATGTTATGGTAACACTAGAATATATGGGAATACTATTGAATCAGTGGCTTGGCAAAATACCTGGAATGTGGATTAGATTGTAAATATGGGTGAGCCAGTCATTTTGCTAGTTAAGCTTGCAATGAAACAGTGAAGCATCAAGAAGATAGTTGTTTTCTAGTCAGTAGAGTGAATTAGTCAGTGTGTTCATATTTTTTAATCTGTGTTAGTTATCACACTTATGGAGTTACTTTATACAAGTAAGTTTACTTTTACATTAGTGTAGTGCAGATAGCTTGACTGTAAACATTGGCCTACAAGTTACAAAGTGTACAAGCCTGTAAAGAAATGTTAAAGAGAAAATAAAGCTAATTTGTTATTGTTACATGGATTAGATTGAATTATTTTCATCAGATAATCTAAAAGAACTTGCCAACAAAAGAACAACATTGTAATAATAGTAATCTGGCAATAGGAAATAATTACTTTATAAAATGTTATAAACATACTCACAAAATCTATAAAATGAATAACATCAAACCATGTTTGAAAGCTTAGAATCTTTTCTCAATACATGTAATTTTCTTCAAAAAATAGCATACAAAGTGCTTTCTGAGGTTAAGTATCCCTGGTATGTTCATTGATGTCATCAAATAAACAAATTATTAGCTGATGTTCTTTTATTTTCTGTGTTCTTTTCGCATTAAAGTATAATTGGGCAAATTCCAAGTTCAAGATTAATTGGCTGGAAAGTCATAGATATGTATAGAATAATAGGAAATTTTGGAGAGTAGTAACAGTATCCATAGAAATCAGTATAATGAGATATATGATTCAAACTGATCTCATTTTATCAGATAACCAAATGCATGCTATAAATATCAGGTCACAAGTTAACAACACTTCTGGGTATTATGTTGTTGTTTTATTATTATTAAGTATACTTCTGAGGTAACTTTCATCTTTATTATTACTTACTCTTTTTATACAGGATGTCCTAAAAGTTTGGCTTCATAGTCAATGTCAAGCTATTTCTCAAGTGATACAAGAAGCTTTTGCACAACCAAATCAGTAATGTTATGTTTCATCTTATTCAGCAAGAGTGGTTGGAAAGACTGGAATTTGTTTTGACATTCCAAAGGATCATGTACAACATAAGAACTAACATACTTTTGAAACTTAGTTGAATGGATAGCAACTGCCTGTTGTGGAAACACAAGTGTAGAGGAAGGTGTATCAAAAATCTTCCTCCTTTCATCTTCAGGTCCAAAGGCAGAAGACTTTCCAAATGTCATACTCTACACATGTGTTTCTACAACAAGCAGTTGTCGTCCATTCAATTAAATTTCATCATGAATACTCTGCCTAAACAGTCTATCAAAGTATAACATAATTTTGTTTCTTCTTATGGTGCCAGACTTTGGGACACCTGATATAATATGATCCAGGAGTTTTCAAGGTTGAATTAAGGCAGCTGATCTAAGCCCTTTGCTCAGCTCTACAAACCCAAATATGAGGTGAACCAAAGATCATATTGTGTATAACTGTACAAAACTTGAATGTTAAATAATACTGTAGAAACAAGTGACATCAGGTGGCAAAAATGGAGTATAAGAAACTCTGCTAGTAGAAATAAATATACTCTTACATGCTATACTCTTACATCTGGTATCCAAACCAGTTGTTATATAAATAATAATTTTAAAAAGTTAATGTGCAATTTATTTCCATTCTATCAAGGTATGTATAATATATATTGTTATTATTAGTGAGTATGCTATCAGTAAAGGTTCCACACATACCTTTTTGATATTAGGTTATGATAACTTTATCTACAAAATAATAAAAGCTTTGTCACCTGGTATGAAACCTTACTCTATATTACAGCCTGTCCACTTACTTATAGGCAACAAGCATGCTCTCTTTCATGCTCTTAGAAATTCAGCTTGTGCTTGGCTTAACCAGATTTAATATTTACAAGCTGAGCCAGAATTAAATGTTCGGCTTGAGTCTGCATTGACTTGCCTAACACTGTTGATGTGTTTGCCATTCATGTTTAAAAGTTTTATGTAATTTGTGTTTTTTCTTATTAAGCATTACAACATTTTGTTACTAATATTATTAACTCTTTTATTTACTGTTCTCCTCTCTGTTTTTTAATATTTACAGGTACTACAGTGCTACCATCATAGAAATGTCAGGGATAAAAAATGAAACAACAGTAATTTGGCTTGCAGCTGTGACAGCTGGAGTTAATTTTATTTGCACCTTCATTGGACTAGCTTTAGTCGAGAGATGTGGGCGTAGATTGCTTGTTTTATCAAGCTTAGGGGGTAAGTAATTAACTAGAGAAATGAAAAATATTTATAGTGTTCTTTTATTTTCCAGCATCTTAGGTGACTTAGGAGGACTTGTGAATCGGTAAGGATCATCACATTCTGTGTCTGGCATGAAATGAAAATTTTTTTTATCTTCAGTATATTGCTTTTAATTCAGCCATCTCACTTGCACATGCTCCTTTAATTTATTAGGTAGTTGGTTGTTTGGTTTTCTGTTGTGCCTTAAAACCCTCTTCTGCTTCCATTGATAATCCATTTCATACGTAAGTGATAATCAATAATTTGTCATTGTTATAGTAAATTAACTTTTTTTTTAATACCAAGGAACTTGTGTACTTGAGATTTGGGTAAGACTGTAGCTACCTTAAATTCCATTTTCTAACTTTACATGATATAAAGAGACAATCTGAATCTCTTAGATGACCAGTTTACTCTTGTATGATGATGCTTTTATAATTAAAATATATTTATTTATATCAAACTGATATTTTTGTTGTTGTCTGAAAGCATTCTTGATAGCATCATAATAAATTTAATTAGCTGTTTGATGGTTTTTGTTAGAATTTATGAAAGTAATTTTGATAAAACTACAACTTTTTCATTTAAAATCTTAATTCATTTGGTCCCCAACTTGTAAATATATAGTGCTTATCACAGTAGGAGTTCAGTAATAAGAGCTGATTTGTTGTTTTGATTTTTTCACTTTTTTTGTATTCAGCTAATTTTTGTACTATTCTGTTGTACTAAGGATGAATTTAATTTTAATTTAAAGCTATTTCCACTTAAACAAGGATAAGTTGTAATTTTGAATTACTTCAACCATTGATTAGGCTTATTAAATTCTTATCTTGCCAATCACCTGTAATTTAATGTAATGGAATAACAGTTTTTATCAGTTTGTTATAATTTTAAAAAGCAATTCTAAGGTTGTGTAGCAGGTGGAATAAGGTAACATCTGTCGATAAAGATTAGTAATACTTTAAGCAGTGAAATTTGGATATTTTTTATTACTTCCACCACTGAATGTGACAGAAGTTATGTTTTCACCTCTGTGTGTGTTTATTTATGTTTGTCAGCAACATTTCTCGAAAACAACTGAATGTATTTGGACAGAAGTTGGTATACGCTTGGACTATGGCCCAACTTAGAAGTGATTAGTTTTTAGAGGTTCAAGGTCACAGTAAGGCCATGAAAATCCAATAAATCTCTATCTCTTAACATGGAGACCAATTTTTCACATTATTTTTGCTCTATAACTCAGTCAAAAATGATCAGATTTTGATGAAACTTGGTGGACATGTGTAGAATATTCCTCATTGTCCTGCCAAGAATGGTCTGTGTCTGTTGATAATAATGGATATATGGACACATTTTCGAAACAGTACTACCTCCTCTCACCCAAAGCTATCTCGATCCTGGTGTGTCCTCTAAGCATTGCTAAAAAAACTGCTACAGCGCAACAGTCTTTATACCCAATCAGTTTTGCGTTATTCCAGAATGTGCTGATCATGTGACTACTCTCCACCAATCATACTGTGCCATTTATACTGGCGCAGCTAGCTCCCTCAACTATTTTAGAACAATCCTCACTTTCTCGATTGACAATCGATATGTGTTTAACTCCTCTATGTAACTACAAAATTTTGGTTGTGCTTGACACAAATTTATGTCAGTTTCAACTTTAAGTTTCGACTTTTTGTGTTTGATTTCCATTGTTTCTACACATTTGTTTTAGAAGTATTTTTGTTTTCTGAATTCTAATTTGTTCATAGAAATTCGAGATTTAACTCGTTTTCTATGTGACTACTAAATTTTGATTGTGGTTGATAACAAATTTATGTCAGTTTCAACTTCTTTTGTTTGATTTCCATTGTTTTACTCGTTTGTTTTAGAAATATTTTTGTTTTCTGAGTTATAATTTGTTCATATAAATTCGAGATTTAATATGGCGGATAAAGAAATTCCTGCAACAGTCGACAATGGTTCTGACACGAGTCCCCAGACCTCAGGGTCAACAATGTCTGCTGAGGAAGTGGAGGCTTTAGTTCACAGGGAGTTTGTGTCATATGTTCAGCCTACAAATTCTTCCTGTCATTTTTTCTGAGGAAGGATATAACTTCTGAGTGGAACTTTCTTTCTTTCTATGGCACCTTCCACCTGTTACCATGCTTCTATGTAATCTCCTGGATTAGGTATTGTTCTTTTTCCTAGGAGATTTGTGTTCAGTTTCTCAGCATGTTTTCCTCCCTCTTAGTAGTTATACCCAAGTTTAGCGAGTTTATGTGTGCTTGTGTGGATTGACCTAATTTCCTCAAGCTATAATTTATGTCTTTCATGTCTTCTCTACTCATTATTTGATAAGTTAGATTTTTATAATTCTTTTACAGTCTAAGTTACTTTAATTTAAATTTGCATTTATAATTTAATTATTACTTTGTTTTTTGTGTTAATTTTCAGTATATGTACAGGTTTTGCGTGGTAGTTACTGTTTGGGTAATTGTAACCTTGGCCAATTTTAAGGGTGTGTTGGTTTGTTATTCATACTTCCTTTTTTCTTTACTAATCACATCTAATTGTGGATTAGAGTTGAGTCAAATTTTGTTATTGTTAACTGGGTGCCTTTTCATTCTCATGTTCTTCAGGGTAGGTTTTACTTTTGTGTCCTTTGTCTTATCAGTTCTTTGAGTGGACTTATAAGTTTGATATTTACATGTCTTTTCTCTTCTGAGTTCCTTTGGTGGTTTTATACTTTAAGTGTTGTGTATTGTTTTATGTTTTAGGTTGAATTTCATAGTTTTGCAACGTTGTTATTTTTATGTACTTTGTAGACTGCAAGTTTCTGGGTTTTGTTAGTTTGTTAGTAATGAGTACTTTCTCTTGAGTAGATACATTCAATCATGATTGGAGGGAACTTCACCTATATGACTACCCTCCAATCAGACTCCTTTCCAGAGTCCTTTTCCTTATCCAGACCACTCCTTGTGGTGTCTTGCTCATTGCTCCATATTGGCCTGCTCAGGTGTGATTTCCTCTACTCTGGCCCTTACTGGAGTAACATCCTCTGCCCTTACCTCTGTCCCAGTCTCTTCTCTGACAACCACAATAGGACATAGTTCATTCCAATGTCACCAAACTCCATCTTCATCTATGGCTTTTGTCTGGTCCCTTGCTTCAACTCAGGGACTCATCCCTCATGTAGCATCTTTCCTTTCCTGGTCCAATCCTCCTTGTCTGTGTACCAGAGGCAGTGGTCCACCTTCAAACCTTGGTCTGTTCACTGTGGCTTCACCCTTCCCATCCTTCAGTACATCCTCATATCCAGTTTTTTGCCTGAGATGAGGGCTCTAGTTGTTATAGTCATTACAGTACCAACCATTGAATTATACTATAACCTTCAATATCCAAGATGCTTCCCCTGGATGTTTTTGCCTGGGCAGGCTGCACTTGTTGATCATATATTTCTTAAGCAAGGAGCTTCCATTGGATGTTTTTTGGCCAGATAGACTGCACTTGGCATAATCTGATGTAACCCAAGGTGCTTCCTTTGGATGTTTTTTTCCATGTGGACTGCACTTGACCTAATCTTATGTAACCAAGGTGGTTCCCCCTGGGTGTTGCCTGGACAGATCACATTTATTGATGTCTATACCTTATGCAAGGTGCTTCCACTGGATGTTTTTGTCTGGGCAGACCACTTTTGGCCTAATCCTATGTATTGAAAGCACTTCCCCTGGATATTTTTTGCCCAGGTGGACCACACTTGTTGATCTCAGATCCTTATGCAAGTAACTTACACTGCATGTTTTTGCACGGATGAATCTCACTTGACATTATTCGATGTATCCCAAGATATATTTTGCTGGGAAGGAGTGCACTTGGCCTATACAAATACATTTCATGGTCCTTAAGTCCTAGCCACGTATTGTTATTTTGTTTTTCTCTCTAGCTCATTTACTGGCACCATACTATGACTCTCTATCACTGTGTTTGGTACTACATCTTGTTTCTTAGGGTGGCTCATTATGACAAGGATGTGGACAGAGAGCTATTTATGATGAACCTCATGATCACACTCATAATGGTAATTTATATCTTTCATAATCCTATTTATCCAAGGCTCTTCCCCTGAATGTTTTTACCTGGGTGGACCACAATTGATGATTACTGTATTTTATACAAGGCATTTCCACTGGATGTTTTGCCCATTTGGAATGCACTGGCATAAACTGATGTAACCCCAGGCAATTTTCTTGGCACTTATATATAAGGGAAAACAGTTGCATACACACAAGCCTTTCCATGTTTCTCAACACCATACTGATTCATGTCATGGTTATCCACCACTTCTTATATTGATTCTTATTGACTTCAGTTGTGCCTGTAAATTCAGTTCCACCCCAATTTTGTTACTGTATTGATTGCTGGGTGAAGAGCATACCTGTTCCAGAAGTAGTGCTGTACCCCATTGATGTGTTTTCTTTTCATTTTATAGCACACCCATTCTACTCATTCTTTCAGTGCTGTCGCTTTCCACTTGATTTGAGATTGATGCTCCTTCACTGGCCCTTCCACCTTGGCAACGTGGGATTCTAACTTCGGGTGAGAGGAGGTAGTACTGTTTTGGAAGTTATCATTCTCTTACTCTGACAATGTATTTCCAATAGGAACTTACCTCCATTTCCCACTCTTCCTTCCCTCTGAGATGCTGGTGTTTATGGTTTGTGCCTACCAATTCTTGAAAGTAAGGATTGTTCTAGAATAGTAGAAGGAGCTAGCTGTGCCAGTATAGATGGCACAGTACAATTGGTTTAGAGTAGTCACATGATCAGCTCATGTTCTGAAATAGTACAAAACTGAGGGGGTACAAAGACTGGTGCACTGTAGTGAAGTTTTTTTGGCAATGCTTAGAGGGCACACCAGGATTGAGATGGCTTTGGGTGAGGAAGGGGAGTACCTATGGGAAATACATTTTCAGCATAAGAAAACAGTAACTTTCATATTTTTTTGAGAGCCAAATATGATCAGTGCTGCATGGCAGAGGTATGTGCTCTACTGAGTGCCCCTCTAGTTAAACATTTTTTATACTGACAGGTGTACTAATTATGCTGTTAGTAAGTGATATGCAAAAAAAGTTGCTAATGAACTAATGGCATTGTTAACATTAACATCATAACAAAAGGCGAAAGATCCCTTACTAGTTTGATAATGCATGATATTCAAAAATTATTTTAACAAAAAATTTCTGTTTTTGAATATGTAAGTGGTTGGCATACACTTGTTTCATTATACTTACTAAAAAACTTAATTTTTTTAAGTTTGTAGAAGAAAAATCATTTCTTGTAAAACTGAAACTGTTGAAAATTGAAGTAAAATTCACGAACTTTTAAATATCCTTTTTTATTTTTTGCTTACTTGTAGATTTTTGTAATTGATACCAACAAATGAATCTTGGTTTTTCTTCGGAGCTAACAATTACTGATTCAAACTATTAGGTAGTAGCAGTGCATGATCCATTGTAAAAGTGGTGACATGTGCAATCATTGTCCCATTTGCAGCATGAAGCACCCACATGACATACATGTAACTTATTTCTACAGTTAGACTTGCTATGTCATTATTGATCTTTCTTAGTGATTGACAAAACTAATATTTAGAAATGTATATATGCCAATCATTATAACCACAGAAAAACAGAATTGATAACAGTGAAAATTGATTCAATACCAGTACACAGTACTGACAGATCAATTTGCATTCATTAATTTATTAGGAATTTCTAGGAAATTGCTCAGAAACATTAAGTATTATTGATTTCATAACAGTATAATTTACATTATACATAGATTTTTTTTCTTTTTTTTTAAAAAAAAAGGTTCACTTCACCCAGCTGAGTACCTCTACTTTGTTTTTTTCTTTTTTTTTTGAGAATTTCATCTCTGCCTATTAACAAATCTTTGACGTCTTGGTTTTTCCCATAATTTATAATCATTATAAAAATTTTAAAAACACATTTGTAACATCCTTTCAATAACAGTATAAAAGTGAAGTAAACCCTTCAGCAATTTATTTTTTTTGTTTTGGGCAAGTGAATGACAGGAAAACATTAAAAAGATCTATTTCTAATATAAAAAAGGTTAAAGTACTGAAATATTCATTGTACTACAAGCAGGTATTGTAATTATGAGATAAAACAATCATGACCATTTTTTTAAAGATTAAAATTGTATGTACATTTAAATTCAGGTGTAACTACAAGTCTCTGTCTTTTTGCCATTGGTTTCCATTTAACTGATGCTTATTCACCAAGTTTGGAGTACCATGATCCGGTTGTTAATGGGAGCATTTGTTACACTTTCAAGTATGTCTATCATTTGTTACATTTTCAATCATGTGTATATTTTAGGTTTCCAGTCCTCCTCTTCGGCTAAATGTGCAGTTTTTTCATGTTTTTTGATAACCATATATTCACATGCAAAGTTAATAGTACTTGAACTCTATAGAATATTCCTATCAGCATATTGATGAAAATAACTATGCTAATATTATTTATAGTTTATTCATCTATCTAATACAATTAATAATTATTTAATGGTCATTCTTTGTCCTTATAATCTGAATAAAATGTAGATTCGTAATTAACGATTGTTTCGTATTCTTTCTTTAGAAGCGTAGCTTAGTATGAACAAGTGACATCACACATTTTCTTTGAAAATTGAAGAAAGCCAATAAAGATTTAAGTGATATTAGTTTGTTCTTTGGTACAATTAAAATTTGTTTTTAATTATTCATTAACTTAATTAAAATCACTTTTGAAATAATGATTAGTAATTTTTACTCTTTATATATGGACAAAAGAGCTACCAGGCTTATTTTAGTGTTTTTTGAATTGTGTTCATGAAATACATATTTATATCTAATAATACAATTTTTAAGATAATCCTACTATAGATTTTCTTAAGTATGTAATTACAATTTTTTATTGGACTTACAGAAGAATGTATGGAAAACAAATAAGAAAAAAAAATTTTAGTCTTGAGAAACATAAGATGTTTGCAGAGAATAATAAGAATTCTTAATTTCTTTATATTAGATACAAAGTTAAGTAGTTTCATTTCACTGTTTAAAAGACCAAAATTTAGTTTTTTTTTCACAAAAAACTAATCATAATTTACTGTATTTTTGTAAAATTTTATATGTATACAGAGATTATGATGTTTTCCAAGTTTTTATTGATGAAGCTCTTATGTAGCTTAACTCTTTACCGCCCCCCAGTGGCCCAGCGGTATGTCTGCGGACTTACAACGCTAGAATCCGGGTTTCGATACCCATGGTGGGCAGAGCACAGATAGCCCATTGTGTAGCTTTGTGCTTAATTACAAATAAACAATAAACTCTTTACCACAGTTTTTACAAACATCTGAAAAAATGATTTGGTTTATCTGAATATTTGATCATGGTTGCAAATAAAAGAAAGTACTTTTTTGTTGGCAGTTAACCTAACATTGTATGATAAAGTAATAGAAAAACCTCACTTTTATTCTTTGCTATTTATTAGTGATTATTAATGTATTACGTAGCTCTCATTTTGAATTACAGTTCAAAATGATATCTTTTGAATTAGTAATATGCCATACTTCATAAAATTACCTTCTACAAATATACAAGATTTTTTTTGCTACACATAACTGACATCTTTATACATGATAATAACATAATTTCTATCCTAATTAGACACACTCTAGAAAGTCAGACTGTTTTTCTTTTAAATCAGTGATTTTAACTGGTGTTTTTAACCATTTTTTTACTTTCTAACCATTGGGTTTTAAACTTGTTTAAGGTACTGAGTGTTAATGTTCACATGAGATTCTAAAAAAGTGTTCTTTTCACACTGTAGTTCAATTTGTAGGAGACAGACTCAAATACTGTCAGTCTCTAAAGTCATCCAAGCAGTGTGCTTTTGCTAGTGGTTGGGCAAATAGGATTTTAGGTTGTATCTATGTAAATATTGAATACAAGTTTAATAAGATTATAATTTCATTGTACACGTCACTGGTTAGGTCACATTTGAAATATTGTGTTCAGTCTTGGGCTCCTTACCTTAGGAAGGACATTGAATTATTGGAAAGGGTTCAGAGAAGGGTTACTAGAATGGTGCCTGGAATGGAGGGGTTGTCATACAATGAGAGGTTGAAATCTC